AGGTGGAGTTGTTCACTGTTTCATCCTCATTGCTGGACGAACCAAGGACAATCCTGCTCTGCCCCTGACGAATGCAGTCTAGAGTTCCCACAGGCAGTCTTATTCCGACTGAAATGCTAAATAAGTCGACGGATAGAGCTCAAGTTCCAAGTATTCTCGTCGCAAGGTTTATGTATGCCAGCTGATGGCGGCGAATAGGCTGTCTCAGTCTTCCTTTTCCTGATCGGGAACACTGCTCGTTTTCCAGATATCTGCCTACGGTTGGTGGACAGAAGTTAGTCCAACAACATGGGGCCGAACATGGCTACGATCTCTAGGCTCCATACATAAGTCAAATTCCCCCCGGCCCGCGCGTTGTGTTAATCTGTTTGGAGGACTAGAACTTGTGTCGAATCGATGACACTTTATGCAGTGGCTTCTGCCAAACGAACTGGATGGAATACAGTAAGCAACCAGTTCAATGAGGGACACTCACTTGCACATCATGACATGCTAGTCGACGGTTTAAATAAATGGGGGAAGAAAGGCGGCAAACCCTGTAAAAACAACTGTTTTACACATAATTCTAATAATTTGTCTACTTTAACAAACTGAGTGGGCAATGCCAGCTTCATTAGCTATGATGAGTAACACGGACCGAATGTAGGTCCTCCACGGTTTTTGTCTATTCAAATACACCCCCAGGGACTACTTCCATATTTGAAGATCGACTAGAACAGAAACAACTGTTAGAAAAGAACTCCGGGAATCTTGAACAGGACATTTGCAGCTGAAACAGTTTTGGAGACAACAACAGTTTTCAAATTCTTTTAATAGAACCCATGGGAAAATTGATCAGAATACTATTACCGAAAAAGATAAGGGAGCCAAGAATGGCCACTCCTGCCTTGTTAGCCGGCATCAGTCAGCCATACCCAACTCGAGGTTTTGTAACCCCGCTGAGGTTTGAACCTGCGACCCGCTGGTTAGAAGTACAATAGCTAAAATTGTGTGGCTGACGCCGGGGTTTGGGATGGAGTCCTAGGGCACAGCAGAACGAATGTGTCCCGGTGAGCAAAGTTAATCAAAATCCAAAAG